ATCTGTAATTATGATTTAAGATGTGATTGCAAAATTACAATTTTAGAGATCTGAATTAAGATTGACATGAAGCCCCTTTGTGGTGTCCAAACAGTTGCCTGCAGAATTTTATGTTTCCTGCACAAAATTGTCAGTAAATGCCACAAATTAGAAAGAGCTCAACAATGTTGGAAATGCAGAGATAGCAAAACTTCATAAACTATAAGACTGCTTCCGAAATCTGCAAAGAATTTCCTGTTTATTCATTTCCGACGAACCCAATGCACTTAAAAACAGCTTTCAAAAGCTAAAATTGCTATTGTCAAACCATTTTCAACAATAAAGTGGCACATTTTCAAACATCTTTTTTGTTTTCTCTATTTTTCATTGTTTTATTAAACTTTCAAATTGCTACGCAAGTCAGGGACGTTTTGACTAGACAGAATACTAATTCAAGATATCAGAAATGTCATTCTGACTAGTCGGAATGTCAATTTAAGATATCTTAAATAGAAAAGCTGTGTAATTCAAGATATCAGTCAAAAAGGAATTTTGACTAGTCAAAATTACAATTCAAGATATCTTTAATTTAATTTTTGCCTAGTCATTATTTGAATTTAAGATATCTATAATTCAGTTTTCACTAGTCAAAATTACATTTCTCCTATCCAAAAATACATTTAAGATATCTTGAATTAAGGAGTAATTCGAGATATCTTTAATTAGAATTATGACTAGTCAAAACTAAAATTGAGATATCTTGAATTTACTTTATGACTAGTCATAATTTAATTGTAGATATCTGAAATGTGTATTTCAGATAGTAATTAATTTTAGATATCTTGAATTGAAGTCTCCATACAAGTCAATGGTAAATCTGACGTCATTTCGACTAGTCAGAATGTAATTAGAGATATCTCAAATAGTTATTTTGTCTAGTCGAAATATAATTAGAGATATCTTAAATCGCTAAAATGTCTAGTCACAAAACAATTTGAGATGTCTGGAATGTAAGGGCGGTAAAACCGAATTTATGTTAAAACGACTTGCCATATTTTCTGTACTGTAACGTTTAGAGTAAGGCGTCACCGAGGACAGCTAATCGGGGTCCTTTGGTTCTGCAACGTCAGGGATAGCATCAGCCACCAATCTCAAAGGAAGCTGGTTACCAGTAAACACTAAAACAACTCAATTCATAAAACCGGACAGTAATGAAAAGCGAACGTGAGCAAAAAAAAAAAAAAAATCACCAATCGAATGTAGTGCTTTAAAATATGGGGTATTTATGAAGCTGCTGAGGGCGACAGTGTGTGAACGTTGATCATGTCGGACGCAGCTATTGAGGAAGTTTCAGTTTTATCGTCCATTTACTGCAGAGACGGAGAGTTCCAAATTGTTCAACAGTCTGGTACGTTGGTTGTTCTTGCTCTGTCGGTATGGCAGGCTGTTTTAACATAAATTCGGTTTTGTCTGATTATCTCTAATTACATTCTAGATATCTAGTTATTTTGACTACATTTTGACTATCTGGAATAGGAATTTAAGATATCTGCATTAAAACTCTGAATGGAAAGAATAATAATAATAATTAAAGCTCCGCGGAGCCTCAAGCGGCCCTCGCAGCCAAGCGCCGCTCAAGCCTATAGCCACCGCGGATGTTCCAGCACCGCCTCCCGCCGGCCACCGCCGACGCTCGCGCGCCGTCCTCCACGCGATCCGCTTTGATGTCTTCGGCAGCGTTCCCTGGCGATCCACCCAAAATCTGGAGCAGATCGGGCAATGTGGCAAGGAGATACAGCTGTTTGATTAACCTAGGGGGCGCAGTGGAGTCAAATTGCAATTAAACTCTATTGGGCTCCTTAGAGGTTCACAAGTGTCACTCATAAAAAGTCTGGTGCAAATTGGATGATGCGTT